AAACAAAGAGAAGATTCGGTGCGATGATCTAACTATGGATGTTGGCTAGATCATTCTCGGCCGCCCCTAGTTGTTCGATAATGATGTGCACATTTATGGACGATCAAACACCTGCGTGTTTGAGCACGAGGGCAAGAAGATTAAACTCCTACCCACCCAACCTAAGTCTATCAAGGAGAATGTTAAACCCAACTCCCTAAACCCAACGCAGGCTTGAATGTTTTAACCGCTGAAGACTTGGATACTGAATTAGAGTCAAGATCTCCCCTCTACGCCTTGGTAGCTTGGGAAGTGAGTGTGACCCAGGAAGAGCCTGTCCTCGAGGAAGTAAAAACTCTCCTCAAAACTTTCGCTGACATCTTCTCGAAAGATCTGGCCCACCAATTACCACCTTTAAGGGACATTCAACACGTTATTGACTTAGTGCCCAGAGCTTTCCTTGCCCAACTTACCCCATTACCGCATGAATCCAACTGAGCACGTTGAGCTCAAGAAACAAGTCGACGAGTTATTACAACGAGGGTTTATCAAGGAGAGCCTCAGTCCTTGTGTTGTTCCTTCCCTTCTAACCCCTAAGAAAGATGGGTTATGGAGAATGTGTGTTGATAGTCGCGCTATCAACAAAATCACGGTCAAGTATCGTTTCCCCATCCCTCGATTAGATGACATGTTAGACATGATGATCGGAGCCACACTTTTTTCTAAAATTGACCTTAAAAGTGGCTACCATCATATTAGGATCCGTCTGGGTGACGAATGGAAAACTGCTTTCAAAATCAAGGATGGACTATATGAGTGGACAGTGATGCCTTTTAGCCTGAGCAATGCTGCAAGTACGTTTATGAGAGTGATGACCCAGGTCCTCAAACCTTTCCTAGGGAAATTTGTAGTGGTCTACTTTGATGATATTCTGATTTATAGTAACTCGGTGGATCAACACTTAGATCATTCAAGGCAAGTCTGCGAAGTCTTGAGGAAAGATCAATTGTTTGTTAATCCCAAGAAATGTACATTCCTCACTAATCACGTAATCTTTCTTGGATTTATTATATCCTCCCAAGGCATATCCGCTGACCCGGAGAAAGTCCGAGTGGCACGAGCCTAAGAACATCAGAGATCTTAGGAGTTTTCATGTACTGGCCACCTTCTATCGGAGGTTTATCAGAAACTTTAGCACTATAGTGGCCCCAATAACAGATTGCCTAAAGAAGGAAGAATTTCATTGGACTACTTATGCCACTAGAGCATTTAAGGAAATTAAGAAACACATGGTAGAAATCCCAGTCATGAGATTACCAAATTTTTCTAAGTAATTGGCATTGGTGGAGTCCTTTCAAAAGAGGGACATTCAGTCGCTTATTTTAGTGAGAAGTTGAATGACATTAGACAACGATACTCCACCTTTGATAAAGAGTTCTACGCTATTATTCAATCTCTTAGATATTGGAGATATTATCTACTTCCCCAAGAATTTGTCATCTTTTCGGATCATGAAGCGTTAAGATATATTAATTCTCAAAAGAAATTTAATGCCCGACACGAGAGGTGGGACGAATTCCTGCAAGAGTACACGTATACCATGAGGCATAAAGCAGGATCTGAAAATAAGGCTACAGACGCCTTAAGTCGTCGAATAATGATCACCCGTGAGAAAAGAACTAAGGTGATTGGCTTTGAGCATATCAAAGGAGACTATAAGGACTGCCCTGTTTTTTATGAAATCTATAATTCCTTAACCTCTGGAAGTGACCGCACTATCGATGATTTCCTAATAGAAGATGGGTACCTATTCCGAGCAAAATAACTCTGTACTCCCAAAACGTCACTTCGAGAATACCTCGTTTAGGAGTTACATGCGGGAGAGTTAGCTGGCTACTTTTGGCAATCTAAGACTATCGCCGCCGTAGAGAATCGATTCTATTGGTCGAGTCTAAAGCATGATGTTAGTAAACTTTTGAGGAGATTTCACACCTGTCAACTCGCAAAGCAACGCAAACAGAACATGAGACTCTACACTCCACTCCCCGTACCTAATTGTCTTTGGCAGGATGTATGGATTTCGTTCTTGGTTTACCAAAGACTGTGAAAAAACATGATTCCATTTGTGTAGTTGTCGATCGTTTCTTGAAAATGGCCCACTTCCTCCCTTGCTTTAAAACTTTTGATGCCTCTCGAATTGTCAAGCTCTATTTTGACGAGATCGTTAGACTTTTCATGGCTTACCAAAAACCATAGTCTCCGACAAAGATGTTAAGTGTACAAGCTATTTTTGGAAAACCCTTTGGCACAAAATGGGTACGAAACTTCAATTTTCAATGGCCTTCCACCCCCAGACCGATGGACAGACTGAATTAGTTAATAGAAGCTTAGGAAACCTTTTAAGGACTTTGGTAGACGAACATATTAGAGATTGGGATTCTAAGTTGTCTATTGCCGAATTTTCCTATAACAACTCTGTTAACATAACCACTGGCCTTAGTCCTGCTGAGATCGTGTATGGATACCTACCCAAACAACCCATTAATCTGATTCCCAAGAGTCATAGAGTTAGAACATCAGAGTCTACATCTGCATTTGCATCTCATCTACAGGAGTTACACAAATAAATTAAAAAGAAAATTGAACAAAACAACGCTAATTATAAATTTATTGCTGATCATAAAAGAAGATTTAAAGAATTTGAAGTTGGAGACTTTGTGATGGTGCGAATCCGTCTGGAGCATTTTCCTCCAGGATCTGCAAAGAAGTTGCATGCAAGAAGCGCTGGACCTTTCAAGATAATTTCAAAGATAAATAGTAATGCTTACGTGCTGGACCTCCCCAAAGGTTTTAACATTAATCCTACATTTAATATATAAGATCTAGTAACCTTTGAGGGACCAGAGTTTAACCCCAATAATCCACTTGCAAATGAGCCTTGTGCGACCACACCTGGTGAGATCCTGAGCCTACCTCCACTCCCCAATTTGCCTCAATTACCCAATGCGGAGAAGATCGAAGCCATATTAGATGATGAGATCATTACAGAGAAAGAAGGGGGACGTCGAAGATACTTAGTTCACTGGAAAGGGACCCCGCGACAGAGGATACGTGGGTTGACCGAGAGGAGCTGCAGAGTCTAGATCCAGACCTCCTAGAGAGGTACGAGAGCTCTAGGGACACTCACTCGATATGGTCAAGTTTTCTCCCACCTAGGGAGAATTATGAGGACATCGACAGACGCTACCAACAAGTTTATCGACGAAGGAATTGTAGATCTACGGCCACGATTCAGCGCCTTTACTTTTGATGCATTTCTTCATGTTATGTTTATTTAGTTTTGTTGTTTTCCGAATTTACCCCTTTCGAGAATTGTCTTGTTATTGTAGCCCAGAGGGCAATTGCGCGCACTTTTCCTTTTTCAAGATTGAGACCTATATATAGTGGTCTAATGTGTTGTAAGAATTTTGATGAATGATTAATGAAAATTTTTATTTGCTTCTTCTTCTTCTTGTGTGAGCAGTGAGCACTAGAGTGAAGGGAGAGAGAGCTCAAGGTGAGCAAGCGCAATACACACCAGTCGTTTGAAGAGTCCGCGACTCGTGGCTTTTAACTTATCTTCTTCTTTTCCTCATTTTCTCCACCCCCACCCGCCGACCACCGCCGGCCATCTCCCCCACCAAAATAACCCCACAACTCCACCTCACCAAGCCCACCCGCCAACCTAACCCCACCCAACCCGATACCTAGCTGCCCCTTGCCCATTGCCGTCGGCCCCTCACTATTCCCCCACATTATGGTGAGTTCAATCATCACAATGACTTCCTAATTTAGCTCAAGCAAGAGAGGGCAAGGTTTGAATTCTTTTGACATTCAAATTCGAATTTCAAATTATTTCCATAAAGGGAATTCTAAATAAGGAAAGTTTTTATCATGAATCCAATCTAAAATTAATTAAATTGGATTTATTATTTATTTTCCTAATCTGCAAAGGTCTATTTGGAAACTCCCAAAATTCCTCCATGACTCCTCTCTCCCCACTAGCTTGATCACAACAATCAAGGCAAGCATGGTGGCCGACCCTGAGGTCGACCACGGATTTGTCTTCGACGAGCAAGGATGGACGGATATTCTTGGATCCCCGTTCTTTGACATCTTCTTTGGCAACGACGAGACTGTTAAAGGATACATCGACCGCATCTTATACCAACTAACATTGTCGATTGAGAGCACCATCCACCGGGTCGTTGAAAAATCGTCGGTCACCCACCGCCGGATACTGCTCCATAAACAAAGGTCCTCGACGCCGCTTCCTAGTGGTAATATCCTTCTTCGTATGGTTCATCTTTCTCCGTTAAAGCCTAAGAGTGATTGAGTGAGAAGGTACTCAAGGTGAACCTCTCGTTGTTAAGTGATGGATTATGTTATGTGTACTTAGTATTTACTTTTGTCTTGAATTTTGATTGAATTGTCCGGTTAATATCAAACGCACTTCTTTGGCCTAAGCAAGTTGATTACTTTAGATTCCTAACACTTCTTTATTTGAAAGCAATAATTTTCATTAGCAAGTTTTAATCAATTGTTTCTTTAATTTCGCAAGTAACTCATAATAGTATCACATCAACTAGCTACTAGAAAATCAGAATTTTCATACTCTTCAAGTAGAACTCTACTTCAAAAGTTCAAATTGCCATTCTCATCAAGTGTACTTGCCACCTTTTTAATAACTCCTAATATATGGTCCAGAAACTTCAACAGAGGTTGATTATTACAAAGATATAAGTGCATGTGCACTCCATAAGCATCTACAGTGATTTCATCGGTAACAATCTATTCCAACATTTCCAGTTTGATCAAAATGACAAACTGGAGGCACGATGAATGAATTGGCCAAAAATAGTGAATATTCATAAGATAACTTTAACAAGGATTTTTTTTTTTTCAAAATGAAGTGATATTGAATATACACTGCCCTATCTTAAGAATTTTTAATGATTGAAACAGCTCTTAGAGATTTAAACCTTTTCCATCATGTATTCGACGCTTTATAAGGCGCCCATCACCAAGCATATCACGCACCTGTCATTTCAAGATGACATCAAAAATATTAGGCCTACTAGAAATGTAAAGATTGCATTCAACCATTTAAGCAAGGCACCAAAAGATTTTTAAATTTTACTGAAATTTCTTTCAGACAGGAAAGCAAGTCAGGCACAAAATAAGAAAATATATCTTCATTACAAAAAAGGTTGCGATAAGATTGGAGAATAGTAAGCTTATTCAGTTAGAAACATAACTTTACCTGAGTAAAATGTACAAGTTCAACTTCAAACTGAACTTCTACATGGCCTTCAGGAATTTGTATCAACGAAGAATTTGTCAAGTAGCTATCAGTCACAAATATTACAGCTTTTTCTCTTTTGGCCATTGTTCCAATTCCCATCTCAAGCCCTTTTGGTATCTAAACTAAGCATATCAATATTAAAAATCATACAAATATATAAAGAAGAAAATCTAAATAACATTCAAGCTTCTCAATGGTCTATTCATCATTGCCACATCACAATGAGTAAAATATAACTTCAAATAGAAAGCACATAAATAAATTGCACAAGCAAATCAGGTCAGAAAATGATATATCACGGCGAACTAAAAAATAATAAATCACAATGGAATTTAAAAACCGATCAAACCTACCATCCAAGAAGGATCATATATTCAAAAAGGTTATGGTCAAACATGCTCAATTTCTGGCATATACTATTGAAGATATTAAAGGACAAAAAAATTTGAAATGAGAAAAATGTTTTACAAACCTCTGATTTACCAAATGTAAAGTGATATGGATTCTTCATAAGCGGCAGGATCATTTTGCCATCGGCTGCTTTTGCAGTTATCCTGAAGATAGAAGTACCATGATGGCCATGATGAAAACATTTTCATCATACTACTGAGATACTTGATCAGCCATCAATGGCCTATCAAAGAAGAAAGAATAAATAAAAAATGCACATGACTTACTAAATGAAGACAAACATACCAAGCTTCGACTTCATAAAGCTCTCTTGGGCATTCCCATCCTTGTCCTTCGTCAATTATCTGGACCAAATAAAAAACTAAGTGAGGAAGACCCAAATAAAGAATTGGCAGATAAAAAATTCATTGAGAAGTATTCTTCTACAAATCTTCATGGTTTTGAGATAGTTGACTAATGATACAATCAACATTCAGAGTACAAGAGAAAAAATAAGATTGATGTTGGAATAAATGCCACAAAATGAGCACTTCCAGTCTTTCAGGGTAAAGGAAACGTGCCCACATTGGTTACTGTGTATATATATTATAAACTAAAATTTTCAAAATGATGAGCTTAATTTTTCCCAAGATACCAAATTTTATAAATAAAATAAAATAAAATAATTATTCCGTTATGTTCTACTAGTCAAAGTAAGCAAATTGATATATAGAAGTATATGTTAATTTGCAAGAATGTGAAAGTTATTGAATTAACATCAATTTGCATTTTCTTTTTTCATAATGTTTCCTTTGCTATTTAAGTTACTGACAGTTAGTGGATTTTTCTGTTTTCCACTTTTAAAAGCATGCAGTGACTTGATTAGGAATCAGAGAGCTGAAATTCATTTATATAACTATGAGTTACATTATATATATATATATATATAGATATTCTAAGAGAACAAATATATCCTGTTAACCTAGAAAATGAGGTGAGATACCAAATCTTTAATACAAGTAACAATTTTTTTTAAAATCTAACTTTTATAGTATTTCTTCCTATCAATCAAGAAATAAAATCATAAGATGAAAATTATGGCAACAAAAAAAGTTTCAATTTTATGATTGCTTGTTCATAATGAGAAAAGTCATAATACGAGAGATAGACCAGCAAGTGATGACCTCTGTACAAGGAAATGTGAAAGACCTCACAAAATAAGCCTTAGTAGAAACCGTACCAAAGGTATTTGACTCTTTCTTCTAAAAGTTAGAATTTTCAGATCCATCCTTGAAAGGAGGGGCCATGAACACGCTAAAGCCCATATGCATCATATGACTTTTCTAAAATAGTGTACAAACAAGGGAGAAAACCTGTAATATTTCATAAAGTAAATTGTACAGTTTTATGCATTGATCATTACAATTTATTTATTTATTCATTTTTTGAATTATACATGTGTACCGCTTATGACTTTTATATTAGTTTGAAATGTCAGCATCATGTTAATTGCTTCTTGTACTAGGGATTATGCATTTCAATGAGCATTTAGCTTACTAGTTGATGGAGCTAGCGGGGCTGTTCATTTAGCTTACTAGTTGATGAGCTAGCGGGGCTTTAAACAGGAGTTTGGCTACCCTGCATGCATAGCTGTTTTGGATGTTCAGTTTTGGGTGTAGATAGAAGACTTATCAGTAAGCTGTAGATTAAAGCTTTTGGATACAAAATTTTAAGATGACAGCCACCTTTTCTTCAAAAAGAGTTGGATGGGCAAGTGCTTTAATGTTTAAAGCTGCAAAAGGATTATAAGTGCTTGATCACATCAAACATCATTGTATAGGGCTCTGTTTAAAATTGCGCAATTAGAGGCGCGCCTTTGCGCAATTCTGCCCAAAAACGCCTCATAGCCTACGCAATTTTGGTCTTTCAAGAGGCGTACGCCTCACTGGGGCTGAGGCGCGCCTCAGAGGCGCAATTGCGCAACTCATTGTGAGGCGTACGCCTCCCTGGGTAGGGTCCACTCACTTAAAATGAGGTCTTTTTCTCTCCTTTAACCCGTATCCTTCAGCATACCCGACTTTTCTCCCTCCCGCACGCTCCAGGTCGCGATTCCGAGCTCCCGCACGCGGTCGGCCTTGCTTCCCGCCGCTCCCTCTATGAGCTAATGTTGTCACGTGTTAACAAAAAGACATTTTGATATTTAATTTCTTTAGCACCTATGATGCACCGACACTTCTCCTCAAAGAAGCGTGCAGTGTTCGACATGTATCTGACACAACACTCGTCTGACACTCTGACACGTGTCGGACACGCCGAAAACGTGTCCGATTAAAAAATTATTAAATACAAATTGGGCACACCTGTCCGACACCCGTTTCTTAAATATTTTATGAATATTTTTTTAAAATATAATTTCTTGTATTTGGCAGGATTTAAACAAAATTTCTTATTTCCTATCCACGACATCAAATCAACGTCCGCACTTAATACACATTCATCGAATATTCTCATTTTCATTTCTTTTTGGCAGTGAAGGTATTGTCATCTCCTCTCTCGGTGACTGATAAAAAGCATCAAGGCCTGACTCTCAACATCCTAATACTAATCATTTTTAGCACAAATTCTAATTAAATGACTTATTATTTCTAAAATATTTTTAAAACTATACTTATTTAGTTTTTTTATAATATTTTAAAAATATAAAACTATAATACCGTGTCCAACCCGTATCCGTGTCCTATATTTTCAATAATTGACATGTTCCGTGTCCGTGTCGTATCCGTGTCGCCGTGTCCATGTATGTGCATCATAGTTTAGCACTCATCTGATTATTAAATTTGCAAAGATGGAAAGTGTGAGAGCTCGTTCCTTTGATTTTTCCTTTCTGGATCTGATTTTCCTCCCAGGATCGTCCGGGAAGATATTGAGATCGTCCGGGACGATATTGAGATCGTCCAAGACGATCAGTGCAGTGAATACAGCTGATTTTCTGGAGTGGATCGTCCAGGCCGATTTTGGATCGTCCTGGGACGATCAGAGCATGGCACAAGTCAGAGAGCAAATCGTCCAAGAAATTAATTATCATCCTGAGATATCGTCCTGGACGATTGAATTTTGTTCACATCGTCCTGGACGATGTGGCGACGGCCGATCAGACTTGTTTTAAAAGGAAATCAGCTCGATTTGATGAGAGAGAAAATCATTTTTATAAAACAAAATATCTGAGGAGAGAGAAGGAGAAGGAAAGCAAAGGAAAAGCTGGTTTCCGGAGGCCGCGGAGCGCTTTTCGTCCGACGCCGCTGTTGGGAAAAGTGTTTATCTCGTGGTAAGGACTCCGAATCCTATTTCTGTTTTCGAAGATGTCGAGTTTTGGTATTTTTGGGCACAGATTTGTGTTTTTGTTACCGAAAAACGCGCCGTATTTTGTATTGACGAAACTTTCACCGCACAACTTTTGATATGTTATTGATATGATTTTTCTACACGTTTTGAGTATTTTCTGTAACGATTCTACCGGTTATTTTGGGTTCTGTGCGATTTTGATCGAATAGATAAATATCAGGATGTTGATTGATGTTGCTTCAGTAGAATAGAAGTCTTATAATGTTGTCGTGCACGTTCTGTATTAATTTGGTAAATTGTGATTTTTAGGAATTTTTGTGTAAATTCCGTATACTGCCGTTATGCCGCTGGATTTTCGTACGATTTCTGATTTTCTAAAATTGATGATTTGAATTGATATGCATACGTGATGGATTTATTGCTTTATTGATTTGGATTTACTGACGGATTTACGGATTTACGGACTTACTGTTATCGTACGATTTCATTGATATTTATATTCTGTCACTGCGCATTGCTACTTTTATAGATATTGTATGGATATGGATACTATGGATTCATTGGCATTGATTGATACTATTATTTCTACACTGTATTGAACTGCTGCATTTGATTCATTGCTAGTATAGACTGAGCTTTATTGTATTGATTTGATGATTTCATACCGATCGATTTAATTGACCAGATGGTATTGTTTTGATTGATTCGATTTGATACGATTGATTTGACTGATCGACTGATTTCCTACTGTTTATTGATTCTTCTACCGCTGCATTGACGACTGATTTGATTTCCGTATTTGTATAGATTTGATTCATTGATCATGTGAAATAGACTGTTATGGATTTGATTGACTGACATGCATATTGTTTCCAGTACCGTGCTTTGATTTCAGTTGTAGGTATTAGGTGACCTGCTGGGCTTTTTGAAGCTCATTATATATGGTTAATATTTCAGGTCAGGGCAAGGGAGCAGGAGATTGAGGTTGATCAGTAATCTCCAGGTCTTTGTCTTTTTTTGTTATAGTGATTCTTTTGTACTCAGGACAGGATAGATTTCAGTTTATAGTGTAGCTCCTGAGTATTGTATATGATCTTTTGAGATTTGAATCGACTTGTACATTGATGTTATAAATGTTATAGATTTTTGCTAGACTGTTTGATTGAAGTTACAGATAGCTCTGGTAAATTGTTGATGGATTGTTTGAAATTCTTTCCAAGTTAGATCTTGGGGCGTCACAGAAAGCATATTCAGAGTCCACATAGATGAGATTTCATCCCTAGTGAGAATCACCAACAATTTTGATCGACTCCAAACATAAGTCATTTTGGCCTGCACGTAACAGAGATGTCCCCGTCAAAGAATGCATGAGGAAAATTAAAGAGTAAAGCAGGAAGGAGTTAGTTAAAGCATCGAGAATAAGCTATTTGGAGCTCTACAAATAAGATTGTATCTCTTGGGATAGAGTAGAGCAATAAGAAAGCTTAAGAGAGATACAAGTTAATCAAAACAGAGTCAATGAATGTAGTTGCTAAAATAAAGGCCTCTACCAATGAGACAGAAGAGAATAAGATGAAGCAGTCTTGGGAGGATCTGAACACGCAAAATGTCGTTGCCTTCAATACAAATCACACCAAAGAAATAAAAAACTCATTCTCCCAAGAGCAATGGAAAACACATGCATTCAAGAGTTCATAACTATGAGCTCCATTGTATGGAGGCAGGATACTCGAGAGAAGCAAAGAGAAGGAGAAGAGAAGAAATACAATAAGGATAGATCGTGCTAGAAGAAATATAAGTAGAGAAGTTGCAGAGGGTGAGAAGAAGAGAGAAAGAGAGAAAAGAAAGAGCCTAAAATCTTTAATGATCCTTACTGCAATCACCAACCTCGTATTCCTTCATAAATGCTTTTCATGCATTGTGTGTATATGTATCAGTGTAACCCATCAACATGAGTTGACGATGGGATAATTTATAAAGGCCTATGTGCCTTGAAGTTAGGACCAGTTGTGATGGCTAATTGAGTATACTAAGATAGCAGTGGTCATGTGTAAGCTGGAGATTGAATTAGGGGTTTAAGAGTAGATAAAGTACGGGAAAGAGAAGGATGAAGCAGGAGTGGAAGTGAAAAAATGCAGATTAAAGCAGCAACAAATACAAAATGAAATAACAATCATAAGAAGGATTTAAAAAGAGCAGTAAAAAAGTATAAGCACATCAGATTTTCAGCAGGCAAAAAAATTCCAGCAGGCAAATTGTGAGAACTTGGGGTTGTTTTCTGCATGACATGAATAATAACTAGGAAGGTTTGGACATGGCAAGCAAAACATGGATCAGAGTTTACTCTAATTGCAAAATAACATCAAGTACTCAACAAAATTAAACGGGTTATTTGAGGAGGGGCAATTAAAACTAAAATATCCATAAGTGATTTACAAAAAACACTAGCATCTCCTCTTCCATGGTATGATTAGACATAAAATAAATATGTTGCTTTCTAAATATATCCGACATGAGAATAAAATAAAGCATGTTATGACATAAAATAACCTAGTCGCTCTCTAAATATATCTGATAAGAGAAATGATCGACTAAATGTAATGTTTCAGTATCATAATGAACAATATATGTAAGAAAATCGACTGCTGGACTTTGGTTCCCAGGCTTTTCTTAGCTGATTAAGCACATAGAAGACTGGAGGAATGGACAAATTGGAATCTTGAAGGAATCAGGTACATTCTTAAAGAGAGATGCTAGCTAATTTGATCTCTCTTGTTTAGTATAAAACCCAACTAGAAGCAACCTTGAGGATTAAAATGGCATAAAATATGGATTTTACTAAACTCTTAGAATATTTCTCATCATCATCATAACTTATCAATTATAACAGCTATTTGGGGTAGGCATCACAAGCATAAAAGATAACTAAAGTAAAAGTTTTGAGGCAAACTGAGCTAAAAACCCTAAACAATGTCAAATGAATGGATGATTATATTCTTAATTAAAACAAAAAAATGCATTAAAATAAATCAGGCTGAAAAAAATGTTTTTATGACTTCAAAATTGCTTCCAATACCTTCTTCACTACTCCCATGTCCTCGCTGACAATCTGGCAAACAAAAAGAGTAAATATTAATTCACAAGAAGAAAAATAGAAGAAAAACACGTGCAGTCCTTTGATGGAAAAACATAAATAAGAAGAATGGATTATGATAGTATTCTAAAATACCCATGAAAGCATAACATTCTTGCTTGCTACAGATTTCAAAAAGAAACTTGGCCCTCCATGACTATGATTCCAGATTAAAACATAAAAACAACAATGAATTTAAAGTTAAATGCATATTTTTGGATACTTTTGCTTGTCAGCAAGGGGACAGACCAGAAAACTGAAGTATAGACCATAGGTTCCAGGTTTCCAAGAAGAAATGAATTTGAACATATGGCAGAATTAAAGGGTTCGAAATGGTAGCGTTCCACGCTAAGCAGTTCAAGATGTGAATAATACTTAAAACGGTACACTCACTAATACCGTGAATTCAAGCTTATTTAGTTGAACTCATCATCATAGGACATTCTAGTTTTCTTTTTACCAAAACAACATGAGAACAAATTAAGTTGGCTCTATTACCAAGTGATTACAGTAAAAAGCAGAAAAAACCATGAAAATCAAACTGCATATTAAGTATTCCAGATATGATATGTAAAGCTTCAAAAGCATCACAACACGAAATAAAGCACCTATATAAACAGATACTCAATATCACACAGATATAAGATTACACATTAGTAAACTTCTGATAAAACCTTAAAGATAAGCAAGGTACAAATTTGGTGCTTCCTTGACGAGCTCAATTTTGACTTCAGGCTTTAGATCTTATGTCGAACTGAATCCCCTCAACTAAATCATGACTCAACTCTGCCGCAACCTTAAATACACAGATGTTATTTTTATTCTTATTATATTAAAAATTTACTAAAGATTTAATATTGATTTGTGGATTCTAATTTGTAAAAGGTGATTTCTTGAATGGTGATCTCAATTTTATGCTACTTGGACTAGTTTTTTATGTTTTTTATCAGAGCATTTTGCAATTTCTGTTATCGAACACATGTCAGTATCCTAAGCAATGGTAAAAATGCCAGATGAAAACAAATTTTAGACTCTACTTAAAATATGTGCACTTTTCGAAACGAGTGACTTGCATCTAACCATTTCAATTTTGGGCCATTTGCCTTCGTGCATTTAAAATACAAAAACCCAAAAAAAAAAAAAAAGAGCAAATGCACACATGTCTATGCAGGTAAATAAAAGCAATTGCTAGCATGTGATAATGGCATCCTAGAGTTTACTTAAGCCTAGTTGAAATATGTAATATCTGTCAAAAGCTACAGTGCTGAAACAGCAGCTAAACAGGGGATGCCACATTTCGAAAAAAAAATACTGTCCAAAGCAGCACCAAAAAAGTACAGCCCAACGCAGCTTTTGATGGTGCATTTCCCACCGCATTAGCTAGCAGATGAAGCCCACTAATAACAAAAGCTTTTTGGTAAAAATCAAGAAAAACTATTTTGCAATCATGACAACAAGGTGAAGTTATTATGGACAAAATAATAATGATTGTGTTAAGTAGAAGATAAAAAAATAAAAATAAAAATGAGCTTGAAGCAACTCTTATAGAAAAACAGAACATACGGCCAAACAATCTTGCCTTCGCTTTAAAGAAATCTAAAATTTCAATCTCAAAATGAAGATCAACATCTTTTGGGAAGTCCTCTGGAGCACTGACTGGACAATCGACTTCAGCATAATGCAACTCCGGTTTCATCTTAAACTGCAAAACAAGAAAATTAGCACCAAGATAATTCTTTTTTTTATAAAGGGAGAGACACTACCTTAATTCAAATAATTTCAAATAATGCAAATTAAAATACTGCCATAAAACACCACAATTCAAAATTAGAAAAATAATTTACACCACTATGACCTGTCTGCATAATAAACTGTATTCTTAGTTATAAAAATACAAGGACAACTTTATTTTCTTATAAATATCTTTAGAAAATATCGATTAATTGGCCCAGACGAAGGGTGGAGAAGCTCGCAAGCCTTCCAAGAGGTAGAAGAGGGAATGGACAAAGCTCTCAAGCTTTTCCAAGAAGAACCCATAGGTTATAGCAACTTTGCTCTCAATATTCACCAACCCATTTCATCTCAAAGCATTTCATATATATAGGCAATAGAGGGGAACTAAACAGCCCAAAATACTTCAATTCCACTCATGAATGGGGAGTTGAAAAGCCAACTGTTTTTGTACATAAATTCCAAACGGCACAGCAAACCACAAGGGAAAGCCACGGTTCCAGTAGCCAAGCATCGGAAACCAGGAGACAATTCTCGGGTCCAGCAGGAGATCATTTCTTGGTAAAAAGGGGGGAAGTCACGGCAGTAAAGGGGGCAGAGAACCGATGGGTCAACAGCAACCAAACAGGCAGCAGTAAACCGTGGGAGAGAAAACCAACAGAAAAACTGCAGCAGCCCAAGAGACGAAAGGGAGAGGAAAGGGCAAGTTCCACCCACCAAAATATGCTCACTTTACATTTAATTTCAAAACTAAACATCAACTCATAATGAGCTATACCTCCACTTGATAATAATGAGCTGGCACCACTAGAATTTTAACAACTAAAGCTCAAACCGAAAACAGCCAAGGCCCACCCGAAACCAGCCAACAGCCCAAAGGACAAGGTGGACCCCAAAGCCAGCAAACCCAAGGTAAGCTTAACCCAAACATTTTCCTACCATGATCATTGGATTTACCACCATCATTGGATAGCATAAAAAAAAATAAAAAAATAGAAAATATAACTAATATTGTTCAAAACAAAAATAATGCAAAAATCTAAATGCATCAAAAAGTGATGGAAGTAAATATGCAAGTACAAATACCATACAGGGTGTACATCTTAAACAAGTCACCACATCACAACATCCTTCATTCACCCACCTACATAATTCCAATTGGAAGACACTCAAAACAACACAAAAAGCATAACATATAGAGTGAAAAGAAAGCAAATGAATGCTCCATAAATAGCAAGAATGATTAAATAATGTGAATAGGTTTCAGACTTCATAAAAAATTCCCACTGAAACAAATGAAGAATGAGGACTCATAATGCAGAACACAATTAGTCAGCAGAAGGCTAATGATGATAATGATTAATGAATAAACCAATAGTCATCCACCATTATGGCAGCATATGTGTTGGGTTAAGCCAATAAGTTTCCATTCTCACAACAAAGCCAACAGGCATTAGTTTTAGTTGTGTTACATCTATTAGGTTACCATGCTTAAGGTTTTCCATTAATGCTTCACAATCTTCTCATACAATATTATTGATTGGCTTGGTGACATAAATGATCAGCATTCACTACTGTCTTCGATTGTTTCTTGGTGATTCAATATCTCTCAAGTAAGAAGCACAATGATACAATACCATTCATGCTGGCACACCATTTAGAAAATTCAACTCTCATACATAACTAAAATCTCATAAGACCAATCACATGGAGTCGGAGCAGGCTACTAAAAAGTTGAATCACACAAAATTTCTAGCTTTTTTAGGCCCATAATTAATTTTAGCCAAATTTTCCTTTTTTTATTTGTATTAAACGTGATAAGAATAAGCACAATCTTATCCTTAAATAGGGTTGATTTTTAATTCATAAATAGGATTGATCATATGAATTTCCAAGACTCGTTAATGAATGAAATTTGATTGTCATAATGCCACT